CACGCTGAAGGGTTAAAGAAGGAAGATAATGAATTGGTGTCCAGTTAGCAGTCAGGCTGTGAAGAGAATACTTTATGTATGTTGTAGAACAGTGGTATTTGGAGTGTGTAATTGAATGAGACTGTTACAGTTCATGTGTTTACATCTGTTGCCAGGAAACAGATAGTGGAGACTTAACAGACTGTGGGCACTAGTGCGTATAACAGTGAATTGTAAAGTGTGAAACTAGTGATAGTGCTATAGTAGTAGTACAACCTGTAAGTGGTCAATAAATTAAACAAACCAAAACCCCTTATATAGTCATGCAACATAAAAACATGATGTAATGAAGTCCTCACTGTAAGCCACACTTGCCCTACCACGGTTTCACTGTAGAGGCAAATGCGGCATAATTTCTGTCTTGCAACATTTTGAAGGCTCGACCACATGATCTCACAAAAAAAAAAAAAATCAAAACTAAAACGTTCAAGGGCTGTAAATCTGAAATGGTGGACAATCACACAACTGTCTGTTCACATTTTCTGCTCCAAACTATCTCCTTAACAACTTCATAATGAGATCACACTGTACTGAGCTCCATCTCAATAGTATGAACAGGGAGGATGGCATCTGCCTAAGCATAGCATGGATACCTCTCATCTTCTTCCTGAAAGATCATAAGAAGCCCTGGGTTCTCCACTGGGCCACACTGTATTTATAAGGGCACCAATTCTGTTCTCTATGTGCACCTATCAATCCTGAGCCTTCCTTTCCCAGCTTCTTCCACTCTCTTCTTGCCCTTCCTATCCTCCACTGCATATCTACAAACCATGCATACAACCTCTCTCACACCCTTTTCTGTTCTCTGTCCATTACACACAACTTTTCTCCCATGTGTTCTCATGTTTGCACTAGTGGTCTTTTTCAGGGCCCAACCCAGAACTGTTCTCTCAGCTCCTACTGGTGCACTCTATTTCTCACAGACAGCAAAAGGGAACTGATTGAGTGACTTGCAAGTTCCTTTCTTTTCTATATAATGCTTAAACTTCAACCCTGAAGATGCAAGCTAATGTTCCTCCAAAACACTGCCTGACTTTCATTGGACACTACAGCATTATATCTTTATATTACAGAGCTGTTATTGAATCATGACTTTTGAGAGCACAGAAGAAGACACAGATTACAGTACAATAGCAGAAATGTGTTGAAGAGGCTAAGCAGCAGATAGTGGAATTCTCTGGCACATCAGTTTTGCAAGAGAGTTACTTTTTTCACTGTTTGATATCTTTAACACTAGCTGAAATTTTTAACACAGGCTAGATATTACAGAAACTGAACTGCATTGCTTGCAAAGCTCTATTTACTATCTAATACCATTATCACAATACTGTAACATCATGCAGTAAACCATTAAATGCATCTAAGGGAAGAATTTCATAAAAGTCATAAGCCAAGTACCAGAAATAAAACATATAGACTTGAAAACTGCTATATTACTGAAAGCTTACAAACCTTCAGGAAACATCAAATATTACAAACAAGATAATACCTACTTCAAGCAATCTACAATTAGAAACGTATCTGACTAGAGCTGACAAATTAGGGTGGGGAGTGATTGAGCTCCTTGGTACTTAGACCACAAATTGTCCACTGTACTAGCTCTCAATGACAAATGAGAAAAACTGAGCACTGGTAGAATGAGAATTGGCAGGGAACCTGCCAAGTGTCATTTTGTCCATCACAAATCCATTATAAACTGACCTTTAACTGAACTTTGGCCACAATAGTGAGATGTTGGCAAAAGCTATGGCATGCCAAGGTATGGTATACTGTACTAGCATTAATATTGTGGCGTATTTACGCCATGCGAGAGCTGTTGAGCCACGGAGGTCTGTGGGTGTGGTGACTGTGCAACAATAAGGAAAGTGGTGTTCCTCTGTGCCGTGCCATGCCAAGCCCAGCTTGCACTGTGCTCACTGCTATGTAACGTTGAGGTAAACAATCCTTTATGACAATATAGGCTGTTTTCTGTGTGCAGTTGGTGCAGAGGCTATATAATGAGATTCCAGGAATAACCAAGGCAGTCTTTCACAGTATTTCAGAGTGTTTAAATGAGAGAGTTCTTGGTGGAAGACAGCCATGGAAAGTTTATCGTGTGAAGACTTGGCGTGTGATTTGAAGGTTTTATGGGTGTGTGTGCCACAGTGAACTATGAGGTGTGTGTATATCAGTGATAGCACTACAATTAACTGTAATTAAATGAGGTTGTAACCTAAGTGCCAATAAATCCAATCATCTGAACTAGAACCCGTCATTCTCGTCCCATGTACCATCCTACATGTGACAATATCGTCCATTTGTATATATATATGTCACATTTTTAATTTTAATGGCTCTATATCTGATATTTAGGGTAATAATGTGCATGGTGTATTAACAAAGTAATGAGACTGATTCTGTAGTGTGCAAACTGGCATAAATGCAGCACTGACACCATTATGAGATGATAGCTACGTTCCGCCTCTACTTTCAGTCAAAGTTTGAACCTACTAGGGTGAATAAATGCGGTTCTGTTGTAGTTTGTGTTTGTTACAGTGTCGGAAAAATGGAGAAGATAAAATCCTAAGCAACCTTGTGTAATCAAGTTTTGTGTCACGCCAGGGTAGGGTGCTAGCAATACCTATAAAAAGTTTCAGAAAGCATTTGGTGATGATTCTGTATCATGTGACCAAGTATTTTGGTGGCACAAAGGCTTTGCAAATGGATGAGAAATGGTGGAAGATGAACTGCAATCTGAATTCCCCACATCTGTGAGACAAAACACAAATGTCAATCATGTGAGGGCTTTCATTCATCCAGAACGACTTTTGACAATTTGAATGATCGTTGACAAAATTAATATTACTGAAGGTACAGTCCACCAAACTGTTACACAAGATTTAAACATGAGAAAAGTGTGTACAAAGATGGTTCCAGAAAATCTGAATGACAATCAAAAAGTGCATCAAAACAAAGTGTCAGCAAAAATGCTTGAAACTGAATCTGATTTTCTTAATTGTGTCATAACAGTTGATGAAAGTTGGATTTTCAAGTGTGACCCGAACTCAAGGGCCAGAGTGAGGAATGGTACATGCCATAGCATCCAAGACAGAAGAAAAATGTCATGAGCAAATAAAAATCAAGACAATGGTTATCATTTTGTTATTCTCATGGGGTAGTTCATAAAGAATTTGTACCACTTGGTGTCACAGTGAATCATAAATTTTATCTTGAAGTCCTGGACCATCAGAGAAAGAGGGTGATGCAAATTTAAATGGAAGTTTCAGGTGATGAGATCCTTCAGGCTTCATCATGATAACGTGCCTGCACACACAACATGGTCAATTTGTGAATTTATGGGAAAAAAAAAAGGACATTCCTCCTTATTCTCCAGACTTGTCACCTTATGATTTTATTTGTTCCCAAAATTAAAATTGAGTCAAGGAGTATCATTTTCAAACACTTGCCAGTGTTCAGAAGGCTGAACTGATGCCATCAAGACCCTAACAGAAGCTGACTTCCAGTCTTTCTATGAGGCATGGAACATTTGCTGGGCCAAGTTCGTTGCATCAGAGGGGTGTTATTTTTATGGAGACGATAACTTAGACAAATAACTGAATAAATGATTCTGTACTTAATCTCATTACTTTGTTAATCTAATGTTTTAACAAATTATAATATGCAACTGTGTGAAACCACAAGAAAACAAACATGATCTGCATGATGTACTTTCTTCATTTTCGGTAACTGCATTATGATGCCAATTTTAAATTGTCATCGGCTACAACGAACATACTGTCATGTGTATTAGTGATCAAAGGCGCAGGTTTGGATCTTTGAGTCAATTTATCGGATATTCACTAGCTGTAACTACAAATAATTATATCACATTCAAGATTACTACAATTATAACACATAAATAAAGTCTGCTATATCTGCTTTAACTAGTCACTGCTAGGTAACACATCTAAACAATGGCCATTCCTCTGCAAAGGTTTCTCTATCCAATTCCTGGCAAAGGATTTTAACACTGGAACTATTACTATCACACTCCAGATAACACTGTACTACAGCACACACAAAGTCTTCAAATCACATGTTAAGTGTTCACAGGTTGACTTCTAATTCTTCTTTGACAAAAAACTTCCTGTGGTTATCTCCTACCAAGAACTGACTGACTGGTAGCACCAGTTGTCTTCAAGATAACTCCTGTGCACGGACCCCATGGAAAACACAATCTTCTTTTATTAAGGGTGTGCATTTACAGCTCTGTTGCCTAGCTAGAGATATCGTATTGTTCTGTGCATTTGCTTTGTGTTCATCAAATAGAAAACAGTTTCCTCTATATTGGTGTCACATTTTAGGGGGGTTATCGGCCATCACATAGAAATGGCGGTGCTTCTACTGTTGCCTGTATTCGGTACTGGAAGAATGTTTATGAACATTCCTCCACTGTTGCATAACCTAGCAATGGGTTCTTTAGCAAGAATCTGTCTTTGTGGGAACTTGTTTACCAAACCCACTGCCTGGCAATGCACTGACATGTTGAATGAATGAATTTGTACAGAATTAATCTCATTACTTTGTTAATCTAATGTTCTAATAACTTCTGTGATGTGACTGCGTGAAACCAAAATAAAACAGACACGAGTTGCTCTATGTAGTCCCTTCATTTTTGTAAACTGCATTATGATGCTAATTTTAATAAATTGTAAACAGTTACAACATACATAATAATAACTGGAGGGCATGAAGGAAATGCAAAATTTTGATGGACATCACTCTGCACTGTATGCACATGGCATTAAGGAATGCACAAAACTGGAACTGAATTTTACTATAACTAAGAGCTCAACAGACACATCAGCAATTTATACTATTACAATAAGCAGGACACAAAACATGACCAGGCATGAATGCTTCTATTAACAGAACGCTGATGTTCTGTAAGCCATGCACCGGAGAAAAATAAATCTACTTACAGTTTGCATGTTCTGCGAACTTGAGATCAAACTTGGGCTGCACTGTTGTTGTTGTTGCTGTTGCTGTTGTTGTGGTTGCTGCTGCTGCGGTGGCTGAGTTTGCTGCTGTTGCTGCTGGGTTGCAGTTGTCGGAGATGACTGCTGTTGTGTCTGCTGGACAGGTTGTTGAGATGACTGATGACTCTGTATCTGCTGCTGCTGCTGTTGTGGTGGAGAGGACTGTTGTTGCTGCTGTTGATGATGATGATGATGATGAGGATGATGTGTTTAATGCTGCTGGTGATAAACATACTGGGTCTGTGGAAAGTTGTCAATTCCACTGTTATCCAGGGTCACACCCTAGAGAAAACATAAGTAAAAATAATTACCGGTCATTAATTCTATTACTCAGCCTCACTAGTTGAGACTTACATTCTATATATGAAATAGTTGGTTGGAGCACTATGCTACAAGCCGGAAGGTAGTGGTTTCGATTCTCGATTAGGTCACTGGATTATTCAATTGACCTCACCCTTCCAGCTGCATTATGGCCCTAGGGTCAATGCAGCCTCTAATAGAAACGAGTACCAGGAATCTTCCTGGGGGTGGCCAGCATGTAAGGCTGACAACCTCACTGCCATCTGTGACCATATGTCTAAAAAATGCGGGAGCCTCGACATCTCACAACCCAATGGGCCTCCACAGCCTGTTACAGGGATAGATTTATCTTACACGAAATGCTACAGTAATTTCCTTAGAAGCTTTTATAGAAGTATCTCATTTTCATTCTAGGAGACATACCTTTTAATATTTTTACAAATATGAAAACACAGGTGTTCGACATGACAGACTACACCAGGCATGGAAGCAAATGAAACAGATGAAAATTGGATGCAAAATATTACAATATGAATTGAATGAGTGGGGGGGGGGGACTGTTTAAATGTATGATAATGAAGACTGGAAAAATAAGGCCATCACTGCTCACCAATCACATTCATCTTCTCAGGTGATCAGGCATGTCAATACAAAAATTAAAAGGCTCTTCTGTTTTTATGTATATTATAGAACACTTACAAATAGGTTCAGAGGAAGAGGGCAAAAACTGTTGACTTTCTGTGAGCATCAAGACATGAGCAATGGTTTTATCTTGCAGATCCAAATTTTATATTGTATGTATACTGTTATACTTTTGGTTGATTTTACCATGAATTTCTTTCTTCACTGTTAATATTGTTATACATTGTAAATATGTTATCTGAGCCATGGCTTTGGTGCAACACATGAGTGATTATTAGTGCCATTACTATCTCCTTAGTTGATAATCTATGATGTTATTTTGTAAAACATCTCTGGGAGTATGTCACAATTTCAGCAGACAACCTTATGGAAGAGAAGACCTCTGTCAATCAAATTTCCTGTATGATGATTTAAATTTACGCTGTATGTTGTGAATAAAATCTATTAAGTTTCTACTGATTACATAATATTCTCATCATTGTCTGAAGATGACACACCTCAAATAAACTCCATGGCCTTTAGTCTGCAAGCGAACTATACTGACCATAGTTTGTTTGTTTGTCTGAGGTGTGCCATCATCAGACAATGATGAGAGTATTGTGTCATCACTAGCTGATGATGACACACCTCAAAGATGTTTGAAAACAGAGCTTACACACATGAATCCAGCTGTAATGTATACTGACATCTGCTACGTCAATGACCTGTGCTCACCTCTTGACACTCAACAACTGTTAAAACAATCACATTTCATGTACAAATCTATCACAAAATATATTACATCATATTTGAATACACTAAGATTGTACCATTTTGAACCATTATATTTTAACCAGTTTTAATATGAATATCACTGAAAATTAAATTATAAACTATACATATATATAAATGATATGATCCAGTTCTTTTAATATTCATAATTTAATTTAAACTGAATTAGTCTTCAACTTTAAGACTGGACCAATTCTATGCTTTAATCAAAATTGGACAAATGTGTGTGTGTGTGGGAGGGGGGCAGCGCGTAAGGTCTGATGATTATTTCCAACTAATGATGAAACATACAGCTGAGTAATACTGATTGAGTACCAACTTTTTTGGTTTATGAAATTATCTGAAATAAACTGGTTCAACTGAAACAGAGAGGTGGCATGGCGCAGTGAACTGGAATTCTATTCTTCTGTTAACAGTGGTGACGATCAGCTTGATCTAATATTCAAACGCGTAGCTTGAATGGTAACCTCCAGACCTTAGTCTGGACACAATCAGCATAACAGCACAGTTGCAAGAACAGGTCCCAGCATTACATTTGAGAACACCCATCATATGTTAATATTTGAATCTCAGTATCCACAATGGGATAGAAAACAAAGCTAGATTTGGAAAAACAACCCATGTCCTTGTCTTCTATACCACTGGATACAGTCCAGAAATTGCTTATAAAATGCACGATAACATATTCAATGCTTTGACAAGTTTAAATGGATTCTGCGGTACTGTACTAAGAAAGTGAAATGGGACACGGCCAAAATTGTTAGACTCATTTAGGAAGTGATATTTTCCCAGAGATTTTGATGATTTCTTGCAAAATAAAATTTATGCTACATCTTAATAAGAGATGGAACTAATAGCAGATTATACTTAAACTGTGAATTTCCTGTTCAGGAAACTGTCTACCTTCTTCAGTGTGGAACAACTGAGATGTAGTATTGATAAATTTACAGCCCAACATTAAAAGCATTAATGCAGAGAGAGATGGTGCGCCAATTAACTGCTGAATTTTGAAGTTTTTGAAAAGCTGATTACAGAAGGGCAATACATCCCTCTGAAGAGTTAGCACCTAACCACTGAATTACACAGCCTTACATCCCAGAAGACTACAACCTTAATATAGCGAATTACATTTCTAAACTTTCTGATTCCTGTTTTAGATGGATATCCGACTGCGTATGATAGTACAATATGTCTGTAACATAATGATCTCTGCAAATCTTAAATCAAGACACTACAAGACCAGGCATTACAGGAAAATGTATATACTGACTACTGTATTACTTCCAAAAGTTCTTTTACGGGTTTCATGTGTCCTAATAAAATGAATTTACACTGGAGTCATGCAAACAAGTCCCATGAATCAACACCTTCCACATCCCACTTGAGCTGTTACACTTCCCCTCTAGGCTTCTAGTCATTCTGCTCACAGGAATGTTTGTAGTGATAACCTTCTTTCATGGCATGTGCTTTAAGCCAGTTAGCAAATGCCAGATGGGACTGGAGGATAATACAACAGCAGGTAGAAAGGGAGAAGCCTCCAGCTCTATTATCTTCACCATTCATTGGATTTCTTTCCGTGACCTCAGTATGACATATTTTTACGTACCTGAGTGCTGTCAAACATGCTGATTTTTGCTATAAATATCCATCAACTATACATAATACAGTGAAATGCCAGTATGGCCCACCTCAAAGTATCTAAAAGGATTTGCTAAACAAATTGTTTAAATGAAAATGAATGTGTGTAATATATAATTTTGTAATATATTCAGATGAATGTCATATATGCCCATTTTTCTACATCTGTGAAATGTAACATGTAATACTCACAGGGAGTTACCCTTTCACCTGCTCAATTATATACACCTACCTGGTAATAGCAGAAAAGTTCACTTCCAGAAATTTAAAATGTAAATACTTTCACCGTTTTTATTACATTTTACTATGTAACAACTAGCAAAGAGTTAATATGCAAAAGTATTTATTTAGTTTGTTACAGCAAAAATACTACCTATTAAAAGTGATGATAATATGAACTCTGAGAATTTCTACCATGATATTACTCATTAATTCGAAAGTTCCCAGTAAGAATTATAATGATAATGTGCATCAATGATTAGCTAAAATTCCTGTTAAGAATGCTAACTCCAGTCAGCAGAGAAGACAACTGCCCAATTTCAGTAAGAAATGAATCTACCTCCACATGACTGGAAGATTTTATGGTGACTGCATTCAATGAAGTCCTCTCGGATAATAGTGTGACGTGTTGCGCTATGGAAGACGCCCCTCCCTCCCCGCCAGCCGTGACGTGCCGAGCGGAGCCGAAGTGAACCGAGTCCAAGCACGCTGGTCTCTATGCAAAGCGAGTAAACAGCAGTACCCATTACGTAACACAGGATGCCGCAGTTGCTACATAGCCGTAAACAACTCCCGGCAGCGTTGCTAGGCTATCGGCAAACATGGCGACTAGGCAACAAGGAAGGGAGGCGTTTTCCCGTGGTCCAGCTGAGGGTTTATAAGAGACCTACACTGCCTACGAAAACGGTTCTCAAGTTTAAAGTGTAGCAGCCACCGAAGTGAGTTCTCAAGGCAGCAGCCTACGAAGTGAGTTGAAATATAGCAGCAGCCTAAGACAGTTTAAGTGTAACAGCCTACGAAGACAGTTGAATTGTAGTAGTCACCAAGTTCAGTTGTAACGAGTGAATCGTGATAGTGTGAAGAGATTTGTGTGTAGGGTTCTAAAGTGTGTAAACCAATAACAGTGTATACTTAATTGTAGCCAAGACTTGTAGGTTGTTAAATAAACCAATTAACAATTTGAACAGCGTCTTCAGTCAGTGGCAAAAATACGTGACAATATACTGTGTGAGTTTATGGTACAGCTGATACTTTACTTAAAATTGCACATACAAAGTCTTCGTCCAACCCTAATTTGAAGTAGAGCTTCTGTTACAATGACAGTGATCAAGCAGTACCCTTCAAAGTATCTATTAACAAAAGGCTTGACCCAAAAGGTTGATTTCAGCTTAGATTTTAACACCTAACACAAATTAATTCTCTTCTATTCATCATAATGGATTCAGTCAAAATCTTTGGCAGTACAGAGCTTACCAGGAAATAAAACACAGTTATACAGTTACAGTATTCACTAACTCAATGTTCATTATACTGCCATTTCACTGTACATGTTGCTGAAGAGACTGGTGTGTTGAACTTAACTTTAGCAAGAGCACTGCTTAAATTCTATCAATTAATCTAGCCATTCTTACAATTCGTTTTTAAGTAAATCATGCATGCATTAACTAACCTTGCAAGTATGAAGATACCTTGAGTTCATAAGAGATGGCACTGAAAGATGATTCTGAAACAAACATGAAGAACAGAACAGAATACATAAAACTAACTACAAAAATAAAATGCAGATTAGCATGCAAAAAGTAAATTAAAAGAACTAAAATCCACTAAGATGGTAAGAGCAAGAAAAAACCACTTGATAAACTTCGTGTACTGCACAAATACTAGTAACCAGTAAGATCAGAGGACCAGAGAATTAAATTACAGTAAACCCTCTAGATATGTTTGTTGTTGAGAAAAAAATCAGAAAATAAAATCAAATATAATAGAGTTTTTTAAATTAAACTAGAAGATTTCAACATGAATTTTTAACATACATTCTAGTATGCTGCTCAATTTAGATTAAGTATTGCTCAATAAAAATAAACTAAAGTAAATTTTAAGAACTTCAAATTTTACTTCTGCATATGAATTTGTCAATAATAGGTGATGCCAATAGGAAAACAGTAATATGGGGAGACAGATAACATTTCAAACTCCATTAAGTTTATTATGTAAGGTTAATAAAAATTCACTAGCCATTTCATTCGCTTCTTAACATCCTTATACAGTTCCTTCATTCCTTCAAATTCCTATCAGAAAGCCTCTGTTGCCACTGCATCAAAAACATTCTGCAAATCTACAAACATCCAATACACTTTACCCTTCTCTGCTTAAATATTTATCTATTACTATTCTTAATATAAATATATGTGGTCCTCCCACAGTTTCTAAACCCAATTTCAGAATGAGAAACAACATCTCCCCTCTCAATCCACTCATTTAGTTTCCCTGCTAGCACCTCTGTAACAGTCCTTGACAAGGTTGAGAATAGCTGAACATTTCAAGCTTGTAAATCATATGCAACAAACTCATCTCCTATGTTGCTGGATATTCCCGTCTCACAAATCATATTTTATTACCTTGGTCATTATTTTACACATCCTTTCTTCCTTCAATACCTCTTAACGTTCTACTGAGTAACAAATTCCTGTTGCCTTTTCATATTTAGCTAATATTTTAATATGTATATTGCTTGCATTCCAATTTACTATCCTTTCTTCTGCACATCAACCACCCAGCAATTTAACTTTTTTCAGAAATAATGACCCAATTATTTCCTTCCAAAATGCCCCTTAAAATATTCTCTTACACTCTCTGGGTCTAACTGAATCCTTATTTCTGCCAACTGTCTTAGTCTCTCAACAACTGTTGCACAGTCTTCTTTTCAAGCTACTTTCTAATGTTACATCTCTTTTTCATCTGCCATTCTATACTCTCAAACATTCCATTCATCAACTTTATACTTGTCATCAATCTCTCCCATTTCCATAAAATACTGTATTCCCATTTCATTATTAAAAACCACATTATACTTTTTAAGATGCCAATATGGAAAATACTGCAAATGCCAGGCTACATCCCTTTGATAATAAACATGTTTTTAAAAACATAATTTGTAAAAAAAAACATTGAATTTAAACACTTGTATTAAAAGTCTGGAAATGAAAACATTCTTCAGCAGGAAAAAGTTTAAGCATCCATGAGGTGCTAGCAGGAAGCTCCCTGACTGTTATTGTTGTAACTGCCTCAGGGAAAGAAGATGAGAAGGGAGGCCAAGGTAACACTTCAAGAAGCCTATTGCATCAGTCTGCCATGTAACACCGTGTTTTGAACAAGTATTCCTTTTACACAGGTGCTTTTTTGACTTCATGTTTCATTTTGTCTGCGATGGATGGAAAAATCAAGCAACGTGTCTGCATCAAGTTTTGTGTGAAGCTTGGTAAATCTGCTATTGGAACCCTTGAAATGCTTTGTGAGGCTTTTGGAGAACATTCTTTAAGTCGGACAGTGGTTTTTGAATGGCGTTCATGTTTCATGGCCCGCTGAGTGTCACCTGAAGATGACAAATGCTCAGGGCGACCAAGAACCAGCAAAATGACAGAAATGTTGAAAAAATTCAAGAACTCATCCACGAAGACCTCTGCTAAATAGTCCATGAGCTTGCAGACACCACTGGGATCAGTAATGAAGTTTGCCAGGAGATCTTACTAGAATATCTGAACATGTGCTGCACTGCTGTGAAGTTCGCTCACTGACTCTTGACAAATGATGAATAGCAGCGGCATGTAAACATGTGTCTTGAGGTACAAGAGAAGGCTAATGAGGACTCAACTTTTATCTCTAGGATCATAATAGGTGACGAAAGTTGGACTTACGGTCATGATCCTGAAGCAAAGCAACAATCTTTACAGTGGAAGAGTCCACAATCACCAAGAGCAAAAAAGGGATGGTAGGTCTGGAGTTCAACAAAGAGCATGGCTCAATTCTTTTTTCGACATGAAGGGGATTGTTCTCCGTGAATTTGTTCCTCCTAACACTACGGTCAACTCTAACTTTTACTGTGATGTTCTGAGATGCCTGAGAAAAAATGTGCAATGCAAAAACCAGAACTTTGGCACAATCACAACTGGCTCCTTCATCACAATGCACCCACCCACACGTCCCTGAAAACCAAAGAGTTTGAGACTAACAACAACAATGGTTATGGTTCCCCATCCTCCATACTAGCCAGACTTAGCTCCACGTGATTTCACTTTGTTTCCCAAATTGAAAATTAAACTGAATGGATGACATTTTGAAACAGTGTCTGACATCCAAAGTGAATCGCAAGTGGTATTTGAAACCATTAAGGAAAATAACTTCCACGTTCTTTTGAAATGTGGAAAAAAAAAATGATGGGATCTCTGTATACATTCCCAAGGAGACTACTTTGAAGGAGATGGTAGCCAAAATTTACTAGGTTAAGCCAGCATTTCTTTTTCATCCTGCACAAAAGTGCAGGTAGTAAAATTGCGGGGACAGCCACATGGGGAAAAGTAGACAAAACGCCTACTTTGGGACAGTTTACTGGAAATCCAGGGGTAAAACAAATTCCATCGGACCCAACGTGGTGAAACCACATTCAGGAGGAAGGGGGATATTCTTCTTCAGTCCTGGAGGGATACTCGTATTGTGAATATGATTTCCACAATTCACAATTCGAGCATGGTTGATGTTCAAAGGAGACATGGACAAGTAAAGAAGCCTATTTGTATTTCTGAGTACAATATGTTCATGAAGGGAGTTGATAGAGCCAATCAATACTTGGCCTATTATTCTCTTCCTAGGAAAACAATAAAGTGGACAAAGAAAGTTGCCTTGTGGCTTATAAATTGTGCCATTTTCAATTCATTTTTGGTTTACAAAAATCTAAACCCCTGATTCGAAATTGAAATACAAAGCATTTCTGATTAAATGTGGCAAAGGCCTGGGCTACAGACCAGATGGTGGCAGCAGAATGAGAGTCAGACAAAGACTTAGTGAGGCCGGGCCCATCAACTCCCACCCCACGCAGGCCTCATGTGGATCCCCCTGGGCAACTCTCGGGTGATATGTGGAAACATACCCTCGTGAAAATTGTGAAGAGTGAATATTCCAAGCGGAAGCATCCTTCTAGGCAATGCCGTGTTTGCGCAGTTCACAGAAAAAGGAGTATGACTGCCTATATTTGCAAGATCTGTGTAATGCCACTTCACAAAGGGGAATGTTTCCAGAAATATCACACTCTCAAGCACTTCTAGGAGCATTGGTAAGTGTTCTCCAAAAATTTTAGTTCATAAAATTAATTAGGAGATTTTATATTAATTTTTAAAGTGAACAGTGCACAAGTTAGGGTACTGGGTTTAAAAATGCCGGTCCCAAGGGTGATTTAAATATTTAAATTGCCAGTCCTCAATGTGTTAAAAACCTAGTTAAAAATAACTAATTATGACAAACAGTTTCTTTAACTGTGCTGTTGGCATTTCTACACGAGAACATCAGTTTCATATAATTCAAATCTTTGCCTTCTTTACTCTCTCGGAAAAACAGAGGCTAATTATCAAAAAGTGGCATTTGGTACACTGAATGTATGTATTTGAAATTGTGCACCCTGCTAGCTTATTTATTATTTATTTTCTGTCTTCAAGAGTTTATTCATCACAGGGCTGGGGCTCGGTGAATAAAAACATACCAGCTAAAAACAGCAGCCTTTCAAATGAGCCATAAAAACAAACTGGCAGTTCTATTGTACAAATTATTTTGAATAATTTCAGCAACTTATGGAGACCAACCTCTGTAAATAAAATTATGTAAGTGGTATCTGCAGTGGGGGAGAGATATGCAACAGGGACCAAAATATGAAATGTTGATTTTGTTGAAACAGGCTTCACCAGTCAGATTTCAATCTTGTTCAGAATTCAGCAACTAACAAACTGTCTACTGTGTGAAAAATCAATTTAATTTCCAAGGTATTGCAGTCAAAGTTAACTATATGAGACAGCATGCGCAATGGCTTTGCACTGATTCTTTATTTTTATAACAGGAAGTTTTCCAAATTAAAGTTACATAAAAACTGTTGTATTTAAATCATTTAATTGTAAGAACTTGGAAGTTCTATGACAGGTCTGGTTTATCACAATCTGAAAGGTTTACTGTACTGAAAACAAAGCATTAATTAGTCAAGTTGTATTTATCATACTCAAAACAGCACTGAAATTATAACATTACCATCATAAACTTATCACAATATTGTAGCATATTAGTTCTACAACTCTTCCATGTTACTTGTGAAAGTTAAAATGTGGTGGAATAGAACACACTGTTATTAAGTGCTTCAACTGCAATGCATTGACAACAAAACAAGAGAAACCACAAATTACCTGTTTAACCATGCTGCTGCTTTGCAACTGAAGAGAACTTCATGTGGACCATTCACTACAACTAAAACTTATTTTTAGTACATCAAGATGAACATGCCCTTGCAGCTAATTTTACAAACATATTTCCTTTCTTGTAATACTAGTAACAGGAGACTCTTAATTTGAAACCCAAGTATTACAAAGATTTCCCAAGAAATATTTTTTTGGGGGGGGGGGGGNATTTCAAACTGCATAATGTCAAATGGCAGGATGACTGATGAATAATGAATAGGAAAGGATTTCAATG